TCCTTCCTTCTCATTGATGCCTATTAGTCTCACATTGTTCATCTTTGCATCGTCTTGCAGGTATTGAATTGTTTTTTCCTGCATCCTGGTTGTTTTTAAGAGATCTTTTCTTACTTTTTTACTAGCTGCAGTGGTGTCTTTAAGGTCAGAAAGTCTATTTTCACTTTCACTCAAAAGGTTTTGCCAGCTTGTGATTGAGGTTTTAATTTCCTGTATATCACTTTGAATCTGTTTCATACATTCTATTTCTTTCCTATATTGCTTATTCAGGGGTTCCATCATTTTTATCTTCTGCTCTATTTTTTTATCAGTGTATTCTTTTGAAGCACTTAGTACTTCTTTGATTATACTTGTTCCTACATTTTTTAGTTCAGAAATTATTTCTGATCTGATTTCTTCTATACCTTGCTGCAGTTGTTTCTTTACTTCCAACACTATTATTTCAGAGATTCCAGGTGTGTGATTTCCAGTTTCCTCTATGCTAATGTCTTCTGCATTTGTACTGGGTGGACTCGGGGCCTGAGATTGCATTTTGTTCCTTCTCTTTGTCATTTTGTATACCACTGTGTTCTGACCTTTGGTGTAGAGCTTAGATAGAGTTATTACCTTAGCACCAGGTCCAGATCTTCGAAGTTCAGATTTCTCCAGGTGGGTGTTGCTTGGATCTGGCTGGGGTCTGGCTGCTCTGCTCCACTTCTTCCAGCTGCAGCTGTTGGAGTTGAATCCTTTGTGTCACTCTGGCAAGGTGTTTTGCTCCTGAATCAGCTGGGTGGGTCTTGCCTCTAGCCTCTTTTCAGGGAGTTCTGCTGAAGGGTTCCACACTGAGCCTGTGCTCTGAGTCTATTCAGGATCCGGCTGCCCCAGGCAGTCTCTCTCACATGCTGGGCCTGCACTCTGGGACTATTCAGGATCCGTGGGCCTGCGCTCCTGGTCTATTTAGGATTCACGGGTCCTGGGTCATCTCACTCACATGCCGGGCCTGTGCTCCTGGGTGTATTCAGGATCCAGCGGCCCTGGGTCCACTCACTCACTCGCCAGGCCTGTGCCCTGGGTCTATTCAGGATCCGTGGGCCCCGGGTGGTCTCACTCACACGCTGGACCTGGGCTCTGGGTCTATACAGGATCCAGCGGCCTTGGGTCATCTCACTCACTCGCCAGGCCTGCACTCTGGGTCGATCTAGATTTTTCTTAAGATTTATCTGTAGTCCTGTCTTTTTCCAAATCAGTTACATTTTTAGTCATTACTTTTTTTTTTTTTTTTTTCAGAACCAGGGATTGAACTCAGGCCCTTGCATTTGCCAGGCAAGCACTTATTCTACTGAGCTATCTCCCTGGCTCCAGTCATTACTTCTTGAACTAATTTTCAGTACTACCTATTTTTTCTCTCCTTCCTGGACTACAGTAATGCAAGTGTTGGTCTCTTATTATCCTATAGTAATTCTGCTATTGTGTTGTGTTGTGTTGTATTGCATTTTATTGTATTATATTGTATTGTATTTATGTTTTTGGTACCAGGGATCAAACTCAGACCTTGCACTTGCCAAGCAGGTGTTTGTGCTGCTGAGCTGTCTCTCCAGTCCTCTGCTTTTTTATTTTAGCTTTCATCTTGATCAACTGCACTAATTTTAATTGTCATGTCTTCCAGTTCACTGACTTTATCTCTCTTGTCTTCCAGTTCACTGGTTTTTTCCATCTGACCCTTCCATTCTGTTTTCCCCAAGCTTTTCTTTCAGTTATTATACTTTTCAGTTCTACCTTTTCTTTTCTTTTTTCTTTATATCTTCTATTTCTTTGGTAAGATTATTTTAAAATGTGTTTCTAGCATAGTTACTCATTGAAGAACTTTTATAGTGGCTGCTTTGGAACCCCTGTATTAGTCCATTTTTAAAACTATAGTGAAATACTTAAGGCAGGCTGCTTTATTTAAAAAGGGGTTTAATTTGTCTCAGGTTCTGGAGGTCAGCACCCTAGAAGGATTACATAGACACTAGTGGGGACCCCTTGGCTATTTCACATTGTGACAGAGATCTGTGTCTCATTCTCTTTATGAAGCCACCTGTCTGAAGGATGAGGGTCTACAAACTGGAAACAACAGGAGGGGGAGGTGTCTTAGGGTTTATAGGGTTATGTTTACTTAGTCCACCTGTTATTTAGACAACACTTTCATCCACAACTATGCTGGTATCCTGCTCTAAAGACACTTCAGAAAATTTCGTACCATCTAGGGAAGGGGTGGGGGGTAAGGGATCTAATTGCTGTTTTTGTTTTGTTTTTGTAAAAAATATACTTAGATTTATGTATAATCTGCATAAAGAAAAATTCATCATTAGGTGAAAAATGCATATGCCATGTAACTGCCACCATAACAACAGAACAGTTGTCACCTAAGATCACTTGATGGCCTTTCCCTACTACAGAGCCTGGATCTATTTTTGTTTCCTTAGTTTTGCCATTTCTTTAATGGCTTATAAAATCATGCAGTACACAGACTTTTAAGTGTGGCTTTTTTCTTTATCATGGCTTGAGATTCATCATATGATTCATTGTATCAATTTTCTGGGGCTTTTTTATTGCTAAGCACTTTTTCATTGTATGTAAATGTACCACCACAGTCAGTAGTTTATTCACTCCTTTGATGAAGGATATTTGAATTATTTACCAGTTTTGCATTTGAGTAAAAAAAACTACGTATGTTTTGTGAACAGGATTTTTTTGTAAACACAAGTTTTTGTTTTCCTGATTGACTATTTAGAACTTGGATTGCTGAATTGGATGCTAATTACATGTTTACATTTATTAAGAAACTGCCAAGTGTGCCAAACTACTGTACTATTTAACATTTTACCAGTATTATAAGAGAATTCTAGTTGCTCCTCATTCTTGTCAACACTTGATGTTGTCAGTGATCTTCACTTTAATTTTAACCATTCTGATAGGTATGTGGTGGTATTTCCTTGTGGATTTACTTTGAGTTTTCCTAATAACCAATGATACTAGGCCACTTGTCCCATGCTTGTCTCAGTCCTTTTCACATGCAGGCTGTTTGGCAGATGCTTTACAGCTTTTTTTCTTCTCCTTGTCTTAATTATGTCTTTTGAAGAGAAGATGCTGATGATCTTGGTAGGACCCAGAGGGCCCCTCCCCTTTTAGCATTGGTGATGTTTTTAGTTTTGTATCTTAAGAAATTTGACCTAATTCACAGTTACAAGGATTTTCTTTTAGAAATGATGTAGTTTGGGTTTTGCACAGGTCAGATTTTGGATGTAATTTTTACATATGAGACAACATATGAAGTTCTTAGTCTATGCCTGCAGTTGCTCATTTTTCCAGCACTGTGTATTGAAAAGGCTGTTCTTTCATGATTAAATTTCATTTATAATTTTCCTGACAGCTAATGAAGCTATAGGCTTGCTTCTGAATTGTTTGGTTCATTCCGCTCTGTGTCTTTTCACTAATATAGTTTTGATAACCATAGTCTTGAATCTAGAATTGTGAGTTCTCTAGCATTTTTCTTTTTCCAAATTATTTTATTTGTTCCAGTTCCTATACTTTTTAAGATAAATTTGAAGATCTGTCAACATCTGTTGAGATTTTGGTTGGAATTACATTACATGTGTAGATGAATGTGAGTGAAGGAGAGACTGGGGTTCAGTGTCCCCTTTAAGAGCACCCGCTCAGTGGCCTAACTTCTTCAACTAGGCTGTCCCCTCCGAGATATCCCACTACTTCCGGTGCAGTGACCAAGAGCTGAGGAGAACCTTTAACACATGGCCTTTCACCAGGCACTTCTAGGACCCCTAGCAGCTCTCACATTTCTAGTTCAACATTTTTAAATTATAAGACTGTCATATCTGGAGGTGAGTGGTTACTAAATGCAGGATAGTTGAATTTTATGGTCCTGGTTTTATGAAATGTACTTTCACAGAAGTAAATGTTTCTGGATTAGCCTGGAAATGTTTTCTCGGTTGGTAAGTCTGTCATTCAGAAAGAACCTTCTAGGTGCAGATCCCAGAAACACTTTTGTTTGAACAGAAGCATTCCCTGTCTTTCCAGATCCAGATGCAGAAGTGTGTCTTCATGCCCTGCGCCTTGTCCAGTCTGTAGTTCTGGAGCCAGAAGTCTTCTCCAAGTCAGCCTCTGAGTTCCAGCATTCACTGCCCCTGCAGCGCATTCTGGCCATGTCCAAGAGCCGCAATCCCCGCCTGCAGACTGCAGCCCAAGAGCTCCTGGAAGACCTCCGCACCCTGGAGCATGGTGTATAGTCCCTTCTCCTCCTCAGCTTCTTCACCTTGTGTTTAAAATCATCTCCCTGAACCACGCGATGTGCTGTATAGTGGTACTCTTGGCCCAGGAGGAGCCTCAGGAGACCCATCCCTCTGCAAAGATCACTCTGTGCTCTCTGGAAGAGGGCTTTCTTTGTAGATAGCCTGCCTGGGACCTGGAAAATGGGAGGTTGCACAGCTGTCTACTTGCCATCAGCATTTTCCTGAGATATATTTCTCTGAAAAAATGCAGGATTGCCTCTATCACCTGTTGGTGAACCTGTGAGTCCAGATAACATCTACATTTTAGCTGTAATTTTGTGCCTCTCTTATTTTTGAATAAAGTCAGAAGAGTCAGTGTTCGCAGTGATTGTGTTCTGAAATAGAAACATGACTCTAGGAAGTTGGTCTGTGTGTGTGTGTGACAATGGGTGCATTTGCTCTCCTTGTATTGCCCTGGCTTTTGGCTATAGGCTGGAAGTTCAGTTTTTCTTAATATCAAACTGAAGGAAATAGCCTCATATGTTAGAACAGATGTAGTGAGTTTAGATTCTTGGTTCATGATATCATCCCTTTCCATGGGCATGGGTGTGTGTGTATGTGTGTGCATGCATAACAGGCCTTGATGTGTATGTGCACTTTGTCATGCCACTCAACTGGTATGCTGGGCCACTGGAAAAGGACAGAAGAGAGGGTGCCGCACCTCTTTCCCAGCACTGATACCTGAGAGCACTGCTACATCCATTGGTCCTTCAGTCACTGCTGGGGAACATACCCAGCCTTTACTAGGGTACCTGTGTGTGTCACTGTAGGGCTTGGCTCTGAGTTTCTCATAAGACAGAGGCAAAAGCAGGTGTCTCTGCAGTGGTTCCCTAAACACACACAGGCTGTTTATACTGTGGGTGTGGTGTTGTCAAGTCATTTCATTTCTCTTAAGTGGATTTTCATAGGTTTCTGGGTGAGGCTGGATATGGAGGGCAGAGGAAGGCACAGCTGCCTGAATTTCATGAGCCAGCATGCTGTGGAGCACTCACCGAGCCAGGGAGGTGTGGTGAAAAAGCAGCTTAAGATTCACAGGGCCATCTGTGCTGTGTACTTCTGTAGGCCTTGATTCCTGGCGAAGACCACTGAGGCTGTCATGTCTTCCTATTTTCTCCAGCCTGTGCTACCTTCATGCTTGCTGTTTGTGTATGAGGCAGTGGGGAAGCTGATGCAAAACATTGTTCTGCCTCTGGAACTGCAGGATTTACCCACAAAGACAGGGCCAGCCACATGCAGAGAGGAGGAAACATCAGATGCCATGGGTGTGGCAATAGTGGATGGACAGAAGCAAGGATTAAGCCTGACTGTAGAGAGCTCCTGTGCAGTCTCTCAGGAGGGGAAGTGCCCAGACCCTGTAAAGAGTGACAACTGCTCCTGCCCTCACAGCAAGGCCAGCAGGAAAATGTGGCTGCCTTCACTCTTCTGTCATCAGTAAGATCCGTAACACTAGTGTGCACATACACAGTTACCCCAGATAGGGGTAAAAAAAATAAGCAATCAGAGTCTTTCAGATGTAGCATGTGCTACAAGATGAAAACATTTTTTGTCTTTCTTTGTCATTTTTTAAGGACATTTTGTCCTGGGTTTGGGTTTTTTTGTGTGTGTGAGGAGGTAGGGGGTGGGTGGGCCAGAACCCAAGAAGCAAGTGTTCTACTGCTGTGCTGCATTCCTGTCCCTCCTCCTCACGTTTTTCAATAAGCCTAATGTAAAATTTTACCATTTTAAGTATAAAATTCAGTGGCATTATGTATGTTCAAAATGTTGAGTAACCATCACCACTATTTCCAAAACTTAATCCCAGCCCAAAACTCTGTACCTATTAAATACCTCACCATTCTCCAAAACCTTTCCCCATCCTTGGTGTTCCCTGTGCTGTGTGTCTCAGTGGCCTTGACTCTTCCAGGTATCTCTTGTGAGTCAGGAAGCAGGCGGTCTGGCTTGTTTCATTTAGTCTGATGTCCTCAGGGTACATCTCTATTGAAGTGTGTGCCAGAACTTCCTTTCTTTTCACCGGTATAATCCCCTTTGTGAATGGCCCATGCTGTGTTTATCCATTCATCTGTTGAAGGACACGTGGATTCCTTCCACCTTTGAGCCTCTGTGAATAGTGCTGCCAGGAACAAGTGTGCACAAGTATCTATTTGAGTCCCTACTTTCACTTCTAAGTATCTGCCTGAGAGTGAGTTGCTAGGTCATACAGTGTTCTTCATTTAACTTTTCTAAACAGGCCCTCAATATGTAGCCCAGACTTGCCTTGCCTTAACATCTCAATAATCCTGCCTCTGCCTCTCAAGTGCAGGGATGCCTGGCTTATATTTAATTTTTTTGAGGAGCTGATGGTCTGTTTCCCACAGGAGCTTTACAATTTTGTATTCCCACCAGCAGCAGTGCTTGAAGGTTACAGTCTCCATGTCCTCACCAACACTTTTTATTTCTTGTTTTTTTGATAAGAGATATTGATAATAGGATCTTTGGCCCACACTTGATGCACAGGATTTTGGCCATGGACATTGCCCTTTTCTCAGCTATACAGGCTGGGGGAGTGAGAAGCCATAACTGGAGTCTGTAAGTTGACTTTACTAGCTGGAGGGCTCCGGACAGGGATATGAATTTGGCCCTCTGGGCAAATGTAGAGGCAAAGTCCCAGCCAGTGTCTTCCTGGGACTGAACACTAAATGTTCTCTCCTGCCCAGAGCAAAACTGCTCCCATCTGTAACCTGCCCCATCAGCATCCTCAGAGGCACATCGTGTAGATCCACCAACTTAAGTAGACTTGTTCAGTCACTCCTCTCAGTCAAGTAGAAGCTCAATAGTCTGCTTGAGTGTTCTCCCTTGCCAGCGGAGCAGGGAGGCTCCCTTAAGGTGACCTCTTGGGTGCCTGATTCTACAGCCACCAACCTCCAGTCACCTTATGGTATCTTGCCACTTAAGACTTTGTGAGCCTGCTGGGTTTTTTAATTCCCAAGATTGGCCCAGGACTAACTTGGCAGGAGAATGATTGCAGCTTACTCCTAGACAGCTGGCCTTCCTGGGGTTGTTATGTCTCCAGCCCTTGGGCAGCAGGCTGCTGGGCAGGGGACATTGCCTTGTCTTGAGTAAGGATTTCTGCTGCCACCCCTTGTTCTGCCACCCCTTGTTGCTGTGAGACAGATAGGATAGAAGCCTTCTCCATATTAGGCAAATGCAGGGCAAGAGCCAGGTGAGTTTGGTTTTTAAAGGCTGGAAAGCCTGCCAGCACTTGCTGTCCATAGTGTTGTCCTCTTTCCTCCCTCTTTAGAATTTCCTGGAAGACCCAGGTGTCCATGGCTATCCTCGTAGAGGCCAGCCATTCACAAAAAGGCCATGAGTTGCCTTCAGTGTGGGACAGCCAAAATGCCAGAATTGCCCTGTACTCCCTGAGTCCAGTGCTGTCATGCCTGGTCCTAGGACAAAGCCCAGGTACTTTACCATTTAGGAGGAAATCTGGGCTGTCTCAGGTATCACTATGTTCTGAGCCAGGAAATTTAGGACCTGTACAATATTTTTTATCTGAGATTTCCTTCGAGTGACGAAGTAAGAAGACCATGGACATATTGGAGAAAGGATTGTTGGGGCACTAGGGCTCTCTCAAGTCACAAGCTCAACAGGCACTACTGGAGGTACAAATTACGACTAGGCATGACCAGCCATTCCTCCCAGCTGGTCTCATGTCTGCCTTTTCCTTGACTTATGAATCCTCAGAACAGTGGTCCTTGGCTCTGTGGAGACACAGGTCACTTGAGAGTCTGAGAGTCCCCTTACACAGAAATGCATGCAAATATATACCCACCAAGTGCAACTGTCAGTTTCCACACTAGCTAGCATTCACATGACCTGCTACAGTACCCAGCACATTGGGAGGCACTTGACTATCAAAAGCACTGAGCAGTCTTGGATTTCTAGGGAAAGCAAGGCTCTGCAGGTGATCTGCAGCCAGCAGCTGGATACACAGTGCTGGTTTCCTTTTGGCATACAGGGCTCATAGCTTATTGGGTGCCCGTGGCCATCAGCTGCAGATGGGGACACTGGGGCCCAAATGTCAGAGCTTCACTTTGCATATGTGCTGCTCTGTAGTGATCCTTGACCATGGCTGTTGTCACCTAGCCCTTCCTTGGTCTGTGTCCTTACCTGGCTCACTGGCTTCCAAACCAGTAGATGTCCTGCTTCTGTGTGTTTGGAGAGCTGGTGACAGTGGTTTAGACCCTCTGAACCACCTGCAGGCCATCAGCTTGAGTAGTGAGGGAAGGGGCACAAAGCGTAGATAGCCCCAAGAACAGTAAACACTTTGCACCCTACCATGATGGGCTCCATGGCTGCCTTATCACATGGTCATGCATAGAAGGATGGAGAGATGCACATTAGTCATCAGTATTAAATGCAGGCTCTAAAAGGTTCTGTTCAGTGTCTGCAGGTCTACTTTTCAAATTGACATTTATTTGTGTCCCAGCGAGTTTCCTACTCACAGGTCACTGCAGCCTGACGGTTACCTAGAGCAATCTAGTATACCTCATTTTCAGTGTTTCTTTGAGATTCTGCATTGCCAAGGCAAACTAGTCGAAGAGAAGGATATATTCTCTTCCCTAAAAGCCAACGGCAAGCTCCATCAGTCCCAGGATATAAAGGGGCGGAGAGCAAACTCCTTTATAACAGCGCTGCTGCTGCTACTGACTGTTATTTTACTTTCCTCATTATATAACCAGTGCTGCTGGGGGTGGGATGAAGGGGCAGCTGAGGCTCTTGAGATCACTGAGGGCAGATGGTGCATAAATTCATCAGATGCGCATTTTGCAGCTCCAGCACTCACCCCTATAGCATCCACACTGCAGGCACACCTGCTGCCTGTCTGTATTGTACTGAAACATTTTCTCTTTTCCATGAGTCACCATACGTGCTCTGCCCCTAGCCATGGAGGCGAGTTTTCCAGTCCACGTGCTTCATGTTGGCATCTAATGCATCCCTCCACATATGAGAGGAGAGGCTACTCTTCATGTTTGG